ACACTGACCTGCAGCTGACTGACTTCTTGCTTGATGCAGAGCAAGAGGGAGAGGAGAGGGTAGAAAGGAGTGTGTGTGTGTGTGTGTGTGTGTGTGTGTGTGTGTGTGTGTGTACTTAACCTTACAGATTTGGGGAAAGAGAGCCCAGAGCTTTCTTGACTCCCCAGCCCACCCCCACCCTGTGGGAAACAGAGTTCTGAAGTGGTGGACTGAGGGCAGAGGAGGTGGGGGCATTCACAGAAAGCTTCTTGTTCCCTAGTTGGATCCAGATGTGGTGGTTGGAGGAGTCAGGAGGGTGTGAGGGAGGGGGGCTGCAGAGAGATGGGGAGAGGAGGAGGGGAACTGGGGAAACAATTCCCTGCAGAAGCCTGAGCTGCTGTGGCTCCCTTCTCTCCCCAAGTTCTCCTTGAGAACACAAATGCCCCAAAACATATCCCTTCCATCAGCCTCCATTGCCTCTTCCTCATAAAATCTCTAGCACTATTGCCAGTAGATCCAGCTGTATGGAAAAGCAGAGCCATTTCCAGATCACTTATCAGGTGTGTCTCTGTGTGGCCAAGGCCTGAGGCTTCGTGGACCTTTCTCTCCACTACAGGCTAAACTGTGGAAGTTTACCCTAGACTCTGATCAGGAGGCAGAGCTGCTGACTGAGGGATCTGGGATATTAAGTACAGTGCTTTATTTAATTCCTCCCATAGCCCAATGGATAGAAATCATTATTTTTTATTTTATTGGTAATAATATTGTGTGGGTGCATGCCTAGAATCCCAAGAGGCGGCAGGGTCAGCATGCACCCACACCCCAATATGCATAATAATTTTGCAGCCAACTTCGACTACATAAGACCCTGGCCCAAAAAAACTAAACACAGGGCCAAAAAGATGGCTCAACAGGTAAAAGTGCTTGTCATGCAAGCCTGGTGACCAGAGTTCAATCCTGGAAAACCCACATAAAAACGTTCGAGGTGATGGAGCATATCCGTAACCCAGCATCCTTACAGCAAGGTGGGAGGCAGACTGGAGAATCACCCAGATGCTCACAGGTCAGCCAGCCTGGAGTCCAACAGAAACAAGAGAGACCCTACCTCAGCAAGGTGAAAGGGAAGTACCCACTCCTGAAAGTTGACCTCTGACCTTCACACTGACATGTGTCATTCATAGGCCACATGTTCTTGCATGTTCACATGCATGCTAATAATGAATCCAATTTAATTTTTTTTAAATCACAAGTAAAACATTGTATTGACAATAGGAATTAAAGGATTAGTTAAAGCACTATTCCAAAAGCCACCCAGCCAGACAGTGGAAGTACCTGCTCAACTTTGTCCCATGTGATTTCCCAGTCCTTGCCATACACCGATTTTGAAGTGCTAGGACTTGCTCATCTTTCAAAGGCCCAATTGATACCAGATATCAATGCCAGAAATTTGCATTTCATTCAGGGATCTATTTTGTCATTGTTATTTTTGGGGTGTTTGTTTTGAGACAGGATCTCATACCCCCAGGCTGGTCTCTTAACTCATAGCGATCCTCCTGTCTCTGCCTCTCCAGCATTGGGATTACAAGTGGGAGGTGTCATACCCAGTGTCATTTGGTTTTGTGACATGTCTACCTAGCCCAAGATGACCTTTCATTTACAATCCCCCATGCCTCAGTCTCCACAGTGCTGGGATTACAGGAGTGCCATCACACCCAGCTCCCAGTGGTCCCACAGTCATGCTAGGAGAGAGACTTCAGCTGAGTGTTTATAGTGGTTGAGTTCACTTCCTAGTTGACTTCCACTCCATGCCCCTGGAGGCGGGAGGAGTTCAGGATGAAGAAGGAGAGCATTATACCCAGGAAGACACAGGCTGAAGGCTTTCTCAAAAGCCGTGAATACCCACACCGGAGAGGGAAGGGCCGGTCCTTGCCCTGCTCCACCTCCCCACTGCATTACCTTCCCAGAAACAGGAAGTCCACAGTCAGGTTAAAGGGCACGGTAAACGAGATCTGTGCAGCCCTCAAGACTGCCAGCAACTCTGAGAACCAAGGGAGTGTGTGCCCAACAGGCTCTCAAGAGTGGGAACCCCTCCTTGGGAGTGAGATAGCCTAGAGGTGGTCCTAATGCTGTCATACTCTCCTATGGTTTTGGCCTAAAGCCTATGCCCACTTTTTTACTTTTGTAAAGGATGGGGAATAGTAGCCCTATTTCCTGGGTCCGGTGGAAACGAAGAGTTTGCTTACTTTAGTGTTCAGCATGGTACCAGCCAGGGAGGGATTGCTCAAGAAATGTTAGCAATGGCTGACATTCCTTTTCTACCACCACCCATTCCAGACCTTAGGCTCCTCATGGATCCTTTCAGATGAAACCATACAATCCTCCCAGGTCTCCCAGGCCTCTCATTCTAGGGACCCGAGAGACCATAGAGGTATTAATTAACAAAACCTCCAGACAGGTTCAGACGGAGAAGGAGCCTTGTTAACGTTAATTGGTACCATCAGATCTTCACCCAGTCAGGATGGAGCATTGCATGCAGGGACAGACTCTCTGCCCTGGGGGTTCACAATCTGCCCAGGACTGTGCACCCAGAGTGGCTGAGTTGGAGTGGACTGACGGGGAGCCCCTTCCTTTGCCCACTTCTCCTGGGGTCAGCATTGTGAGGAGGGCAGCGGGGAGTGAGAAGGGAGGCTGGGCACCACAGTCTGTGAAAGGGTCAGGAACGTATTTGTGTTCTCAAGCACAGCCACGGTACGGACACTCTGCTGAACATCAGTGCCAGAGGCAGTACTTGGGAGGCGATGCCAGCTTCACCATGGCTCTTAGCCTAATTTAATGAGCCCAGAGAACCTGATTCAAATGTCCGGCCATGGACAATGACTCCATGGTTGAGGTCTAGGACCTTTTTATTTTTTAACTGGTGCTGGGGCTTGAACCCAGGGCCTCACACACACTAAACATACATCCTACTACCCACCTGCATTCCTGACCACTAGGAACGGGTTTTATGGGGGCTTGTTTTCTTCTGTTATCATTTTGTTTGGGTTTGGTTTAGTTTAGTTTGGTTTGGTTTTTTGAGACTGGGTCTCACCCTGAAGCCCAAACTGGCCTTGAACTCAAGACGTTACTCCTGCCACCGCCTTTACAGTGCTGGGATTCTTTTGAACCACCTTGTCCTGCTATGTTTGGTTTTGAAACAGAATCTCCATAAGTAGACCAAACTGGTCTTAAACTTCAGATCTGGCCTCTGTTTCTGGAGTGACCAGGGTCTGCAGAGCTGTACTTTAAGTTACACAGGATGGGGCTGGGGGAGCGGCCCAGCAGGTGATATGCTTGCTGTGCAAGTGTGAGGACCTGAGTTTGGTCCCCCAAGGGCCAGGTGTGATGCTGCACACCTTTAATCCCAGCACTCTCAGGAGGCAGAGGTCACGGCCAGCTTGATCAGCTTGATCAAGATTCTGGCCAGCCAAAATTTCTTGATGAGACCATGTCTCAAAAAAAAGAAAAGAAAAAAGAAAGGAAAGGAAAAACAAGTAGGCATGGTGGCATCCAGTGAGTTCCAGGTTCACTGAGAAGCCCTGTCTCAAAAAATATGGTGGTGATATCAGCGAGATGACTCAGCAGGCAAAGGTGCTTGCCCCTAAGCCCGATGACCTGAGTGTAACCCTGGGAACCCACAAAGTGAAAGGAGAAAATCAACTCCTGCAAGCTGTCCTATGACCTCCCCATGTATGCCATGTCGGACACTCATACGCAAATGACAAATAAAAAAATAAAGTGGAGAGTAACGCCGATGTCGGCATCTGGACTCCACGTGGGTGTGCCTGCTGGCACACACACACTCAGATACAATAAAGATAAACCAGTTCCATGGGAATGATGTTTGTCCACCGTCAGGGCATAGCTATGGAAGTATTCAAAGAATGTTGATGGGTGGGAAGAGTGAGGGGAGGAAGAAGAGTCTGAGTGGGAGCCAGGTGTGACAGACAGCTCACACCCGTGTCTCAGCTCTTGGGAGGTGGAGCAAGAAAGCCAAGGAGTTCAAGGCTAGCTTTAGCTTCTTTCACTCAAGGCCAGCTTGATTTAGGCAAGACCCAGTTTTGGTTTTTATCTTTAAAAGCAAGTAAGCAACAAAGAAAAACAAAAAATGGGTGAGGCTTAACCTGGTGTGATGTGACTCAAGCCTTTAATCCCAGGATTCTAAAGGCTGAAGCAGAAGGATCACCATGAGTTAGAGGCTATACAGTGAGTTTCTGAGCAGCCTGGAATACAGTATAGGACTGTCTCAATAAAATAAAACAAAAAGAGTCTATGAATGGTTCTTCGGAATTTGAACACAAGACCTGCCTTCTTGCTACACCCAGTGGTGCATATCTACAACCTGCTCTGAAGGCTGAGGCAGGGGGATCATAAATTAAAGACCATCCTGGGCAATTTAGTAAAGAAGCTATCTCAAAACAAAAATTAGGGAGCTAAAGACATGACTCAGTGGTTAAGAGCACTGGCTACTCTCCCAAAGTACCCGAGTTTAATTCCCAGCACCCACAAGGCAGCTCCAACCTGTCTGTAACTCCAGTTCCAGTGGATCTGACACCCTCACACAGACAGACATGCAGGCAAAACACCAATACACATTAAAAATAATTAAAATCTTGGAATGGAAGCTGAGTGGTGGTGGTGCATACCTCTAATCCTAGTACTTAGCAGGCAGAGGCAGGTGAATCTTTTTAAGTTTGAGGCCAGCCTGGAACAGAGTGAGTTCCAGAACAGCCAGAACTACTCAGAGAAATCCTGTCTCGAAAAACAAAACAAACAAACTAAAAGCTTGGAATGGCTCAGTGGTAGAACCCTGCTTAACATTTGGTAAGCCCCAGGTTCTAACCCTAGTACGGGAATGGGGAGACATGCTTTCAATGCTTTCAATCAGAAAGTTGCTTTCAATGTCAGGATCTCTGATGCATTCCATTTAGCAACAGAGACTAAATATTCACTATTGCTATTGCAAATTGCTGCCTAAATTCTAGAAGTTCCAGTCCACACAGCAGAAACCCCAGAAAGTGGCTTCTGACCTCACATCAATTGGAGACCAGAGAGCCTCCAAAACTTCTATTTGCGGAAAAACGCGAGTCCACCCAAAGCCTTGTGACTGATTCCCAGAGTTCTGGACCCGCAAGTTCCACGGCTAAGGATGATCCCTGACAGAACATTCTTTGATCGGTGAGTAACTGTCACCTGCATGGACTGGACAAAGGTAAGGGAGGCACAGGGGAGGGTCTGTGCTCTAGGGAAGGCTGCCTAGGCTCTGCCCGCCCCAGGAGCGGGGAGTCAAGGCTAGCCCCACCCAAGGTCTTGAGTTTGAAGGCTGCTCTGGTCAATAACTTGTTCTCGGGCCAACTTTAAGGATGGAAAAGCATTTAACGGCTCTGACTTCAAAGAAAATACTAAAAAGTGGAGAAAAACTTGGAGAGCTAGTCCTCATACAGATGAGATAGATACTCTGGAGCATTTTGGAATGGCAGTCAGAACCTCAAAGCCAAAAACCTTGCAGTCAGATTTGAGCTCAAGGTCTATCACCCCAGACTCATATAATTTGGAGTACAGTCTTGGTTAGGCAAGTGCATTCCCTTCTTTAAGCGTCTACATCCTTACCTATCAAATGAGTAACTGTACTTGCACCCCAGGCTTTAGAAGAATTAAGAAAGAAAATGAGGGCTGGCAAGATAGCTCAGTGGGTAAAGGCACTTGTCAAAAGCCTGTCAATCTGAGTTTGATCTCTGGGGCACACGCAGTAGAAGGAGAGAACCAACACCCAGTGCTTGTCCTCTGATCTCTTTGTGCCATTTGTGTGCATGTACATACACACATACACACACATGCACACACATATTCACGAACAAAATCAATGTAATAAGCAAATTTTGAAAAGTGAAAAATAAAATGAATCTAGCTTCCAGGGTCACCATTTTAGCGAAGGCTAAATCCTAACATAGTTTGTCATTGTTTTATTTTAAAATGTGGAACGTTTAAAATTCCAATTAGGACACACACACTTCTTGATTTTCAGGACCGTAGACTGGTCCCACAGTCTTGTCCATGAAAGTCAATCACTCTGCCACTGAGTTACATCCTCGACACTCTGTGTGTGTATGTGCACACGGGAGTATGTGGGCGCTCTTTACCAACTGAGCCATCTGCCCAGAGCCTTCCCTGACACCTCTTTTTACTTTTTATTTTGAGGTGAGCTCTTACCAAGTTGCCCAGGCGAGCCTCACACTTTTAGATCCTTCTGTTTTAGCCTTCCAAGTAGTTGGGATTATAGGCCCGTTCCACTGGCCCTGCCTTACAGATGCCTTTTTAAAGTTAGATTTGAGCAGGCACAGTGACACAAACCTGTAATCCTAGCACTCCATGAGACAAAAGGACAAAGTGTTTGAAATCAGCATGGGCTACAAAGCAAGACCTTGTCTAAAAACAAGACCAAAATGAAATCCTTACACACTCGCACAAACACACACACACATGCACACAAACACACACACTCACAAAGCTGGAGTTGGACATGGTAGCACATAGCTGTGATCCTAGTACTTGGGGCATAGAGACAGGGGTATCATAAGTTCAAAATCATCAGCTACATGGTGAGTTCAAAACAAACCTGACACAAGAAAGGAGGAACCACATGTGATAGCACAGTTCTACAATCCCAACTGCCAAGAAGTAGAAGAGGGAGAAAGTCAAGGCCAGTCTAGACTGTGTAGACAGACCCTGCATCAAGAGAAAAAATAGACATACTACGTCAATATCTGGAAACACATGTTTATATTAATATTAAAGTCAAGCATGGTGGCTCAACCCTACAATCCTAATGCTTGTAAAGAAAGCTTATTGTTGGTTGTTTTTACTCTTTGCTGTTTTGTGGGGCCCGCCATCCAGTTCCCAAATAAATCACATAGAGGCTTGTTCTTACTTATGAATGCTCGGACTTAGCTTGGTTTGTTTCTAGCCAGTTTTTCTTTCTTTCTTTCTTTCTTTCTTTCTTTCTTTCTTTCTTTCTTTCTTTCTTTCTTTTTTAAATTTATTTAACTTTATGTGCACTAGTGTGAAGGTCTCAGATCCGCTGGAACTGGAGTTACAGAAAATTGTGAGTTACCATATGGGTGCTGGGAATTCAACTCAGGCTAGAGAGATGGCTCAGTGGTTAAAAGAGCATGGCCTGCTCTTCCAAAAGTCCTTAGTTCAATTCCCAGCAACCACATGGTGACTCACAACCATCTGTAATGAGATCTGGTGCCCTCTTGAGAAAGAGACTTGGTCAGTCATCCTCATCAACTTAGACTATGAGACCCAATATGGAAAAGTTCAACAGAACCACCATATACGGGCTGTCCATGCATGCTTCAGCATTGCCAGGGCATACATTTTATTCATTTATTTCCTCTGGAAGAGCAGCCAGTGCTCTTAACCACTGAGTCATCTCTCCACCTCCTAGTCAGCTTTTCTTAACTTAAATTACCCCATCTACCTTTTGCCTCTGAGCTTCTACCTTTCTCTATTTCTGTACGTCTTTTCTTTATTTTTTTTTATTCTGTGTCTGATTGTGTGGCTAGCCCCTTCTTTTCTTGTTCTTTGATCCTCCTATTCCCAGATTTCTTCTCCCATTTATCTTCTCTGCCTCCCAGCCCCGCCTATCCTTTCCTGCCTTACTACTGGCTATTCAGCTCTTTACTAGACCAATCAGGTGTTTTAGGCAGGCAAAATAACACAGCTTCACAGAGTTAAACAAATGCAACATAAAAGAATGAAACACATCTTTGAATCATTAAACAAATGTTTATGTAACATATACCATGTAACAATACATCTTTAACTAATATTCCACAAGAAAGGCTGGGATAGAAGGATCTTTGTGAGTCTGAGGCTGCAGATCGAGTTTCACATCAGCCTGACTTAAAGTGACTCCTGACCAGAAAAAAAAAAAGAAAAAAGGAAAAGAATATTGAGAAGAATAGAACAGAAAATATAGAACTGGCAGAGTGAATTTCATAAAATCCACAAAATTCAAAAGATAATTTGAAATAAGTATTAGATAGGTTTTATTTTCTCACAAAAGACCTAAAAACATTACATACAATTTTAAGTTTCTATTTCTTATTAGCACTGGGATGAGGTTTTTGCATGCATGTCATGGCACAAGTGTGGGGGTCAGAAGACAACTTTCAGGAGTCAGGTCTTGCCTTACACCACTCAGGTTGTCCGACTTGTGCAGCAAGTGCATCTACCTGTGGAGCCATCTCGAAGTCCGGGTTTTGGAGTAGAATGAATAGGCAGACATAGGAGTTGAGAGGGTGAAACCTTATGATAATATAAGGCTGCATTCCTCAAAACCCACAAAATGTATGCTAAGAGCCGGCTGTAGTGGAAGCCATGGACTTTGCATGATAAGGGCATGTCAACACAGGTTCATTCCCTAGCTGCAGCATCCAGGTGGGGGTTCGCTCATGCGGAGGGACTTTACCTATGTGGGTGCAGAAGAGATTGGGAAAACTGTATCTGTGCAGTTCTGCTGCAAGCCTAAAACAGTGCTAAAGAAACAAAGTTAATTTTTAAAAAGACAAAAAAAAAAGTTTGGGGTTTTGATGGCATTAGGAGTCTGAGGAACCTTGTCAAGAATAAAGGAAGAGAGAGAAGGGAAAGGAGGAAGGAAGGCAGGGGAAAAGAGAGGGAGGACAGACGGGAGGAAGGGAACCAGGCACACTTTTGTAATCAGAGCAATCTGGGAAGCTGAGGCAGGAGAACGCTGTCATGGATGGAGGTCAACTTGAAATGCTTGGAACCCTGTCTCTCAAATAAGGAAGAGGAAGAAAGGAAGACAAAGATAGCAAGAGTGGTTCTGAGACATCTGGCTTGGGAGAAGGTGTGTCCTCTCTGTCAGAGGAGGAAGTGGGTCCTGGTCCTCCCTTCCTGTATGATGTTACAACCTTAAACTCTCCGGCATAAGCCTCAGTGATACCATCAACCAGATGGGATCTGGAGATTCCAAGATGGGAAAAGGAGCCGCAGTAATGTCCATAGTAATAAGACCAGCTGAGGGCTCTGGGAGGAAAGGGCTCCTCGCCCAGACCTTGTGACTCACAAGATCTTGAAGGCAGATATTGAGTGGTGGCTTCTCTCCCCACAGTCAGACACACAGGTGATGGAAGCTATCCCTCATCGAGAACCTTTTGTACAGGGCACCATGCTGGACATGAAGGGAACAGACAGAGGAGCCACATCCAGAGACTGGCAGAGAAGAGGAGGAAGTGGGAAACTGGCTGTGTGCTAGGAGACTGCTGAGCTTCAGGACACCTGAGCTGGGCCACCAGAAGCTGGCCTCAGTGGTTCACTGCCCTCTGGTTTCAGACCCCAAATGTGCGTGCGCAATCCTGACAACAGGGCAGAGAGGGTGACAAGGACCTGAAGAACTCCTAACAAAGGCACCTCAGAGCTTCTCCCTGCAAGGTGTCTCCCAACTGCTGCCCCTCCCCACCCAAGGAGACTTCAAATTCTACCCCCAAGGCTGAAGCCTGACACCTCTCTGCACCCGCACTGCCACCACCACGGCCCAGCCCACCACAATCACCTCGCACTGGATGGCGACAGTCCATCTGCCAGGTATCTAGACTCGCAAGTCTGATCATGTCACCCCAGGAACACCTTTCAGTGACTGCCCACTGTTCTCAGTGGAAAAACCTAGCCCTGAATACCAGCATTTCCTACCCAGCATTTCTTGGCCCCTGCAAAATTCTACTGAACAGTTTTGGGTGGCCGCCCTGTGTTGTCATGCCTCAGCTATTTGATGAAGTGTCTGGAAAGCTATCAGACTCAGCACCACTTCACTTGGTGACTGGGATATCCCCTATGCCCATCAATCCTGATTCATGGGTTTTTAAGTCTAGGCCAGATCCAGCAGAGCCTTCCAAAAAGACTTCCTGGTCTAGGCCACTCTCCTCTGGTTCTTTATGATACCAGTTCCAACATTATAAAGCTTTGGTTTTACTGTAATTTTTCGTGTGTGTGTGTGTGTGTGTGTGTGTGTGTGTGTGTGTACACTCCACAGTGTCAGTGTTCATGTAGAGGTCAGAGAACAGCTTACAGGAACTGATTCTCTCCTTCCTCTGTGCAGATTCTGAGATAGAATTCGTCAGGCTGAGTAGCAAGCGCCTTCACCCCCTGAGCCATCTCACTTGATGTTTCTGAAAGGCTCTGGTTCCATCTTGAGCTACAGAGCTGCTGTATCTGTTGTGATCCACTACTGTGTCATCGGCTTGTAGCACAGACTCTGACTCACCCGTGGACCAGTAGCCTGGCTGCGGAAGGAGTGAACAGAAAAACTAGCTTGGAAGGGAAGCAAGATCTTCAGGAGTCCTCAGCTTTCTGATCAACGAGTTGAGAGATCTGCCTTTCTTTGTAGCTCAGATCATTCAGGGCTGACAGTCATAGAATCATCCTGGCTCCCCTCCTGTCTAGTTTCCTGCCTGAGGATCTACGGCTGACCCTGACATTTAGTCATTTTGTCTTCCACTCTCCAATGCCCATTGCTGGACAGAAGTATAATCAGGTGATACCATAAACCTAATTTGCACTTCTCCTCAGGCAATGAAGTCATTGGAGCTTTGGAGGTGGTCTTGAGGCACAGAGAAAGGACTGACCCACCCCACCCTGTGTTCTCCCCTCCCCCTCAGACTCGGGGCACAAGTGGCTTTGCCCAATCTGCAAGGGCCCAGGAACAGAGGGTTGTACTACAACCCAAACACAAGGGCTGCTGGGGGAGAAACAGCAGGGAGACATGTCCCCTTCCCTGTCTTCCGACCCACAAACAAGCTGCCTTGCTAGCTTGCCCTTCTCCCTACCTGGGGCACTGGCTGAGTTTCCCTATCCCCTGTCCTGTGGGCACTTGTTTACAGGTGAAAACAGCAGGGTGGTGTTTCCTTGGCAGACCAGGCGGTGACCCACTCAGATCACAGGTAAAGAAGGTTTTGCTGTCTGTGTCTGCTTTGAGGGCCCACGGGCAGTATACTCCAAAAAAAAAAAAAGACCTGATCCAGCTGAAGACAAAAACTACTGTTGAGCGCTGGTGTATCTGCGCAAGTACAAGGCAGGAAGTCATGCGTAGTCAAACCGATTTGGCATTTAGTAGGAAGGACATAAATAACAATAACTTTCTCTCATATGAGTGGGCCTGTACCACTCATATGTTGTGAGCCATTTTACAGACAAGTTTTCATTTAATTCTTAAAACAACCCATGTGAGGAGACTGAGAGTCAGCTCTGAGATTAAGAGCCCTTACCTCAGGTAGTTCATAACCCCCTGGGGCTTTGCTTCCAGGGGATTGATCCAACCCTCTGGCCTCAGCAGGCACTTTGCACTCAAATCACATGCATACACCCCCCCACACAGATCCGCCTGCATATACATAATTAAAAATAATAAAAACAAATCTTTAAGTAAGCTAAGCATGTATGTACCCATTTCACAGATGAAGAAAGAGGCTCAGGGAAGCGCACAGCTCACGAGTAGCCAAGCCCTAGCCCTGAGATCCTACTGCCCTTTCTGAGGCATTATTGGGAACTCAGAAACTGCTTCCCTCAGGCTGGAGATGCGAAGGGGACAGAAATCGTGTATGGCAAGACACATAAAGATGAGACATAAAGGACTTCCTGACGATGAAGGCTGTTTGGCTGTCCTCAGGGTAATTAGAGCTGTGAGGGCTTCTCCTCTCAGAGCCTTAGAGTCCAAGATGAATAGATACCCGGGTGATCTGTGGAAGGCAGTCCGTTCCCAGCATGGGGCTGGCCTGTTTAAACTGACAGCCTCTTGCCCACAGAAACCATTAGATAACAGGAGAAGATAGCGTGGGGCGTGTGCTCATTCAGAGCTGGAAGAAAGTGAATGCTGCGGACAGGCAGATGCTACTGCGATTCAAAGCAAGGGCTTTGTGGTCAGGCAGCCTTGCTTAAGTCGATGCTGGCTTCACTACCTGTGTGGCCTTGGGTATTATTACCTTTCAAAACCCCAGCTTGTTAGCCAATCAAAAGAGACTAAGAATAGAGTGTACTTGGGAGGGCTATCTTGAAATTAAATAAGATGGTGTGTATAAAGTCTGAGGCACAGAACCCGGACCTGCTACTACAATGAAGCCAGGTTGATAACATATGTCCATAATTCTAATACTCACGAGAGGCTGAAGCGGGAAGCTCATGAGTTTAGAGTTAGCCTGGGCTGCATAGTGAGTCCTTGTCTCAAAAATGAAGCAAAACAAGGATCCCTACAGTGACTGTCAGCTGTATAATAATTACTGTGGTAGTCCAGAGGCCGAGGGGAACAGGACATATACACAGATGAGGAGGTGACTCAGAAAGTCTGCTGGGAAACCTGGGTTTTTTCCCAATCGTGAACACCTGTTACAGTCACCAGAAACACTATGGACATGGTTGTGGCTCATGGAAGAGGTTGCAAGTTCCCTATCGTTTTAAAAGACAGATCAGTTTTGATTTCTAGCTGAAACAGAGGACTCTTCGCAGGGAAGCTGTGGGGATACAGAAAAGTTCTTCCACACCTGTGTTTCCAAACCACAGGGTCGGAACAGAGATACAGATCCTTTGCCCACTTCTTGGTTCTTGTTGGGGACTAGTGGGAGGGTCTAGGGTCTGGGAATACTGCCAAGGACAGAACTAGTGATGGATGGGACAGGACCCGAAACAGGGGAAGTGAGGAAATGTGGGTGAGGCCCCTAGTGACTGTAGGACTGACTCATGCGGCAGGCCTAGCTTGAAGGCTTCCTTGAGATTCAGCATCCTGTCAGGCAAGAGGCCAGCCTTGAGACCCCAGGCGGCTATGTCTTCAGTGCTGCCCGTTCAGGCTGTAAGACCCCAAGGAAACAGTCCAGCTATTGTCTGGCAGTCTGCACCAACTGCCCAGGATGAAGTCCTCCAGAGAGGTGGTTCCCCAAGAAAGATGCTGTTCATTCTGGATCCTCCACGTTCAAGCCCCTGTCAAGTACCAAGTGTCTATTACCCTCTGTACCAGTGCTAACTCCCTGTCCAGTCCCAAAAAGGTCTGAAGCCATGGGTTTGAGATCCAGGAAGCTGTGTTTTAGCAAACATCAAAGTGATATTGGAGGTTTGGAAAATTTGTGTGAGATGAACTCTTAAGTCCCATGCAGTCTTGTATGTGTGCCAAAGGAAGGGCTCATGCTGATAATGGTGGAGATCCCCTAGGAAGGAAAGAAGCTGGGTGGGGGCAGTTTCACCCATCTGCCATCAGGACCCCAGAGACAACCTCTGGAAGGTTGGAAACAGACAGGAGGAACAAAAGGTTCTGAACATCCCCAGAGGACCTTATCTCTATGGCCTCTTCAACACTCTCCAGGGGTTCACCAGGGGACACTTAGACTCAAAGAATCTTTAAAGTACACTTGCATGTCACCAAGCAGGCGGAGATCCTACACCCCTTCAGTCTTCAGTCAGTTTGTTGGAGTATCTGGCAGGGCTGTCTTTTTATGGTCCTTTTATGGTCTTTTTTATGGACAGTCGTGGTGAAGCACGACTGTCCCAATCTGGTGTCCCCAGTGGCCCAGAATCTAGCGTTTCCCTGGCTGTGCTCAGCGTATTACCAGAAAGAGCAGGGGCCCTGGGAGGTGGGCTGGACTGGAGAAGGCTAACTCAACACAGGAGGGGGAAACTACATAACGGTCCACAAAGTTCTCCTTGAAAATCGCGTCCAGATTGCCGGTCTCACTCACCAAAACAGCTCACACCTGATGGATGCACAGATGGCTCTCAACCCTCAACCGCACTCCCCGGCTAAGAAAAGACAGAGTGCGAGGTGAGG